GCCCCCCGTCCGGCCCCGAGGCCCTGCCCCCTGGCCGGCCGGACTGACGGGAAAACAGATCTGTTGTTGTTCCCGGTGGGGTGTAATTCATCAGCTCTGTTTCTCTCCATATGCCCTCCCTCTCCTTTCCAGCCTCGCCAAATTCGGTGTTTAAAAATACTCCTCAGATCTGGGAACAGCAGTCCCCGGCTGACCTGAGGGGTGGACCGCAGAGATGCGTGCCCAACTCATGATTCTGGATGCGGTCGGAGCCCACGGGGAGTCCTCCTCGTCCAGAATGTTCTTCCAGTTATTGGAGTTTTATTGTCGGCCCTGAGCTACCCTCGTGGGCCATTTACCAATTTCCAAAGAGCTAGAACCCAAGACCATAAATTTAATCTGTCTGTCGTAAATGTGCTTTCTCGGGGCGGGGGGCCAGGGAGGCCCCAGAAACTCCTGCCGCGCCGAGATGGAGAACAGGATCTGGGCCGGCTTGGCCTCCCGACTGAGCCCTGAGGAGCCGTGTGACCTCGAGCCTCAGTTTTCTTCTTTACGAGCTGGGGTTTGATGACCTGCCTGTGCTGGGTGACGAGATTCCCTGACCATGCAGCGAAGTCAGAGTGCAGGACTCGGGGTGGGGGGCGGCCGGAGCCCAGTGGGAGGAAGGGGCTCCCCCTTTCCTGCAGACATCACCTGTGGGGGTCCCAGGTGGCCGTACCCGACAGCATGACTTGCCCTTTACGCCTGAGCTCGTAGCGCCTGAGCCCACGTCCTCCTCTGCAGATCCCCGTAGGGCAGGAGGGGATGGCTTTGGCCTTGTGAATGTTGGTGCTATCAGGCGTGTGACCCCTGAGGACAGACCAAGGATCACAGCTGCCACTGAGTTTCCAAAAGCCATTCTGACCCTGCCAGTTGGAGTGGCTGGCTTCTGAGTTTTGCTGTCTCATGAGAAATGGAATTTTTACGGAACTTCCCTTGTGACACGTGGTGGGCTTTGTTCCACCGTAAAGTCAGTGTTCGGTTCTGGTGCCTGGGCTGCCCCCCTCCACAGTCCCCCGTCCCCCCCACCCAGAGTCCCTGTACCCTGACATTTGTCCAGCAAACAAGGCTGTGGCTTCTGTTGGCCTCCACCCCCACCATGGAGTCCTGCCCAGGCAGCCCCGGGTCCGGGTGGGAACACGGCCAAGCTGTGGAGTCTGAGCAGACCGGTACTGGACGGGGACAGATACAGCTGTAGTGTGTCCTGCTCCCACACACCTGCAGGAGGCTGGCCCCTGAGGCCAGCCCCTGAGGCCACTGTCTCCAGTCCCCCCCAGACAGGCCTGGGGGCCTGAGGCCAGAGTTGGCCAGGCGGGATCCCCTCCCAGTCTGTGGGACTCTGGCACCCATGCTCCATGGCCATGACCCCCGGCTGGCCAGGCCCTGGCCCAGCACCCTCTTGGCCTAATGGAGAGCCTGGGGACCAGTCATGGAGGGGAGAGCTTCGTGGGCGTCCTGGCACGGCACACCGCCTCCTCCCCGTCCCTAGAACGCAGCCCAAACCCTGTTCAGAGTGGGGGTTAACGAGGGGATGTCGGGAGAAGAGGTGTGCGAGCACGTGAATGGAAGGAGATGGGACGGGAAGTGTCTCATGGGGGGACAGACTTCTCCCAGCGGATGGGATCGAGGGGACCTCCTGGAGCCCCTTCTCAGGTGCTGCAGGATTCGGGCTCACAGGAGTAAGAGGAGGACCCGCTGCGGGTGTGAGGGGCCAGAGCGGCAGGAAGGGCGCCTGGGTACAAGGCAGCGGAGCAGCCCCCTACCCTGTATTCATTCAACAAACCCACCGGCCCTTGGACTTGAGCCCTGGCTCCTGATGTGGGGCACCTGCTCTGCCCGAGCTCCGGAGCCCCGTTATCAGCCTCAGCAGGCCTTTGCCTGCCGAGTGGGGCCACGGAAGGTGCCGTTTCAGAGCACCTGCCACTCCCCACTCCCCCCACACCCCCCCACTGTGTTTTCCAGGGCGGATCCTTGGGTTTCCTCAGTGCAAATCCTGGCTAAGCACTTTGAAATGCTTTAATCTCCTTCATCCTCCCAGGAGGGCCCTGAAGGAGGCCGGAAGGAGGCCCAGGCTCAGAACAATTAAGGAGCTTACAGCCGGTGGGGCTCCGATGGGTGCTGGCCTGCCGGAGAGATAGGAAGGCTCTTCCCCTGCCCCCGCTTGCATAACCTCCGGATGAAGGCTCTCAGCTCCATCGGACGCTCTCTCCGCTCCCTCCTCCTCCCCTGGTTCACACTGGGGACCAGCAGCACCTCGCCTCCTAGGTCCAACCCGCGGGCCGCGCTGCAGGGGAGAGTGAGGCCCGGGTCACCCGTGGGGCCCCGCCATCCGCGCCCCTGCTTTTGGCCTGGAGTTCAGTCCTGTCTCCTCCCTCAGAAGTTTTGAGCCTCCGGGTTACCCAGGGTGACTCCCTGCCCTGCCTGCCCCCACTCAGGAGGACCCCAGCTGTCACCCCTGTGCCCTCCCTGACTGGGCTGTGAGCTCCTGAGGGCGAAGGCGAGCTGTCTGGGCCCAGAGCATGTGCCCCAGGACAGCCTGGGCGGTCAGAGGGCGGTTCCTGCAGACTGTGGCACGCCCTTCCCAGTGCCCTTTTCCAGAACTGTGTTCTCTGGCGGCACATCTGCAGGGTGTACACCGCTCTCAGACCTTCCCCTGGGAGGTGGAGGCCTTCACCAAACGGGACAGGACTGGAGGGGTCAAGGGACCCCCAAAAATCTGCTCTGTAGATGGGGGTACAGCCTGGCTGGGAGGGCGCACAGGTTTCCACCAGGGGTGGGGTGGTGGTGAGGGGGTTGTCCAGGCTCTGGCTCCCATGTGAGCACCCACCACACCCGTCCTGGGTGTCCCTCCCAACCCGTCCTGGGACAATCCCATGGGAGAGTGTGTGACGGTGTCCTGGGGCCACCGGAGCAAAGCTCCCCACAACCCAAGTGTGTGCTTTGCCCATCTGGAGGCCAGAGTCCAAGACCAAGGTGTGGGCAGAGATGGATCCTTCTGGGCGCTCCCAGGGGGTCTGCCCAGGCTCTCCCCCAGCTTCTGGAGGTTCGCTAGAGATCTTTGGGGTTCACTGGCTTGTTGAGGCATCACCCCAGCCTCTGCTTCGGTCTTCACATGGTCTCCTCTCTGCGCGTGTCTCTGTGTCCAAATTTCCTCTTCTTATAAGGTCACCAGTTGTGGTGACTTGGGGCCCAGCGGACTCCAGGGTGACCTCATTGTAAATACATCTCTGGTGACCCTATTTCAAAATAAGTTCCCGTTATGAGGTACAAGGGGGTTAGGATTGCAACATAAGGATTTGGGTGGACACAATTTATATGCCATGATGGGGGGGGCCATGAGGGGAAGGGATGGTGTGCGGGACACGAGCCTGGCGCGTAGTAGGGGCTCAACAAATTAATCCCCATCCTGAGTATCTACACTTTTCTGCAGCCGCTGGCAGCTTGCAGCCCACAGAGACTCGGGCTGGGACTCTGAGTTTACACAGAGCATACACAGGCCTTCTCCTCTCCCCAGCCCCCATTCCTGCATCCCTGCAGGGAGGGGGTGGTGATGGCGAGCTGCCCTCAGGTTCGTCCTGGGGCTTCAGCAACCTGTAGTTGTAGCCACCAAGGGCCAAGGCTCTGTGTCAGGTGGCCTCCTGCTACCCGTACCCTCTAGCGTCCCCTACTGGCCTCCAGGCTGCTCCTGCCTCAGAGCCTTTGCACCTGCTGCTCCTCCCAATAGCCACGCTGCTCACTCCTGCGTCACTCAGGTCTGCCCACTGTCACATCCACCCGCGGCCCCCCCAGCCATCCTGTCTGAAGGACACCCCAGGACCACTCTGTACCCCCCCCACACACCTGGCTTTATTCCCCCTCATAGCTTTGCATATTGTGGTAAAACACACATAACATAAAATTTGATGTTTTAACCATTTTTAGCGTACAGTTTAGTGGCATCCATTCACCCAGCCGTCACCACCATCCGTCTCCAGGATTCCCTCCGTCCTCCATCCCTATGAAACATGAACTCCCATCCCTCCCCAGCCCCTGGCACCCACCATCCTACTCGCTGTCCCTAGAACGTGATGACCCCGGGAAGCTCATGGGCGTGGAGTCACACAGGGTTTGTCCTTTTGTGTCAGGCTCACATCACCCAACACCCTGTCCTTGGGGGGCATCCGTGTCATGGCACGTGTTGGCACCCCTTTCCCTTTTGAGGCTGTATCTTATTCCGCTGTGCAAATCGGCCCCTTTTGCTCCCACGTGTACCTGTCCTCGGACACCAGGGCTGTTTGCACCTCTTGCCGCTGTGCCTCGCGCTGCTGTGAACACGGGTGTGCCAGCATCTGTCTGTGCTCCTGCTTTCAGTTCTTCAGGGCGTATCCCCAGGAGCCTCGTAGCGTCTTAAATATTCATCTGCTTGTCTGCGCGCTGTCAGCCTTGCTCCCTGGAGCGCGAGCTGGGCAGGGACACACTCCGCTTCGTGCTGCCTGCCGTCTGTTTTGTCCACTGCTGTATCCATAATGCATGGAAGGTGCCCGGCTCCGTGCAGATGGTGAAGGGGTTAATGGAAGTCACTGTGAGTGGCACTGCAAGGAGACATGGGTCCTGCAAGTCTCCCCGTGGGGGGCGCGAGCTCCTATCCAGTCACCCCAGCCTGTGTCCCTGCGAGCAGCAGGTGCTCTGCCCCCCTGCCCTCGGGACGCCGGCCCACTGGCCTCAGCCTATCCGTCGTTGTTTCCACCACCTGAGCCATCAGTTCTCCTTTGATTAAGTCTCATCTTGCCATGAAAAGAAAAGGAGGTGACAGTTAACTGGTGGGGGAGGTCATTCATTCCAGAAAGGAAATTGGATGGCAGCGTTTCCATCATCCGCGGCCCAGCCCCTGCTCCCAGCAAACACGCTTCCCCGCCTGTCCCCCGCTGTGGGCAGCAAAGCCCATGTCTGCGCCCGCAGGCAAGGCAGCCCACACCCAGCCTCTGCCGGATCTCGTTAAACAGGCAGCTCCCGACGGATCGATGCCAGCCAAATGATGACCAGTTGTGGCCAGCAGTCCTTGAACGTGCTCACCGTCCTCTCGTTGCTGATTTCTGCAGGTAGAATGGGTGCCCAGCTGGGCGGGGAGGGGGGCACAGGGGTGGGTCCCTTTCCGGGGTCAGCACGAGCCCAGTTGGGGTTCTGGGTACTGGCGGGGGGTGCTCCTAGATCCTGGCATTCCCGCTGGTGAGGAGTTAATATTTGCTGCCGTTCGGGGAGAACCTACTGTGTGCCGTGCCCCACATGCGTGCTGCGGGAGCCGCGCTGAGTGTCGTCCCTGGCTTGGTGGGGTTAATGGTGGCTGCCAGCCCTGTGAGAAGCCTTTGCACAAATTCTCCACCTACGCCTAAAAGTCAGGTCCAAAACGTCACAGTCATCCCACTGTATGGATGAGGAAACTGAGTCTTAGAGCCGAGCCTGCCAGCAGGAGGCAACACAGCTAGTGCAGGGGCTGGGGTTCTAATCGGCCTGCTAGCACCTTACCCCCTCCTAGGATCCCCCTGAGACAGCAGGTGGGTTCTCACACTCTTGTTTACAAAGGTGGACATAAAGCAAGTCCTTCCATGGTTCCAATCGAAGGTAGGTGCCTGGAGAAACCTGCCCTACCTCCAGGCACCAGTGGTGGCTGTCTGAGCCCCAGGCTAAGCAAGGCACCTGTTCTGTGTCTGCCTCTGTCTCTATCTCTCTGTGTCTCTATATCTCTTGCTCATGCATCTGTGCACAGGACCTCCTCGTGCCCTCTTGCCCCTTTGTTGAGGGCCTGACTCTGAGGGAGGCCATGAAGGGCCCTGGGGACGGCCAGCTCCAGGACAGCACAGCCAAAGCCAGGCCAAGGGTCTGGGGACCGCTGTTGACCAAACTCTTCCCTGACTCCGTTTCCGTGCATTAGTGCATCTGGTCCTCCCTGCCTCCTGGAAGAGAGGAGGAGGTCCTCACCCCTTTTACAAATGAGGAAACAGGGCTCAAAGGAGGACCGTGAGCTGCCCAAGGCCACACGGTCACCTGGCTGTTAGATGTTGACACCCTGTGTTCCTCCCTTGGAACGCAAGTGAGAGGCTCTCTCCTTGGTGTCCCCTCTCCACTTGGACCGGTTCTCCTGGTTCGCAAGGACTGGCCTCCTAACAGCATCCCTCTGCCCTCGGGGTCCCAGGCGCTGGCTGAGAACCACACTGAGCCTGGAAGCCGTCAGGAGCCGCCCTGTGTTACCCACTCATTCACGCACCCCCCTGCTCAAAGCGAGGCCGAAGCTTTGCTGTTTACAAAACTCTCCTCAGAGCCCCAGTCATCCGGGCTGCCAGGGGTCTCCCATCTGTGAGGGGAAGGAGGCCGAGAGAGGTCACGATGGCGCAGGTGACCCGCGTGCTCCAGGATTCGGACCCCGCTGTCGCAGCTCCTAGCTCTGGGCAACTTCAGCTCGTTACCCCTCGGGAGTGGCAGTGGCCTCCACTGCCTGACCCTCAGTGGGACTTCTGTCCCCTGCCTTACTCAGCCTCCCTCCCCAGCCCAGCCCTGCACAGTGGGCTTTCCTGACGCCCAGCTCAAAGCCCACCTCCCTGCTCCGTCCTTTCCCTCCCGGGTTCCTGCCTCCGGTCCCATCCTCTCCATCCAGCCGCAGGGCCTGAGCCAGTCTTTCTGACTAGCTGCTTGCCTGTGGTGGAGACATCCAGCTCCCCGTGAGCCAGCCCACAGCAGGGCATCCTCACCTGTCCCAACACACAGCGGGCTTCCTGCCTCCAGTCCTCACATCTAGCACCCCCCCCACCCCGTGCGTCCTTCCTCTGGGCTGGCAGGTCCCAAACCCCAGCCTGTCCACCTCCCCTGCAGGGCTTGCCTCCCAGGTCAGCGTGGCTCATTCGGAAGGTCTGCTGAGGAGCCTACAAAGCCGCATGGATGCCCGTCCCCGGAAGATTGGATGAGGCAGGTCAGGTCCACCCTGTGGACCACTGCTCTGAGCCTCAGTTATCTCCTCTGTACAAATGGGAGTACATGAGATTAAGGGAGACGGGTTATGCCCCATTGAGGACAGGGCGTCCTTAGTGACCCGTCTCCCTGCAGAAGGATCTTCTGTTTCCCAAGGTCGAGGCCAAGCGCGGGGGCCTGCAGGGCTCCCTTGACCCCTGAAACTCTGAGACCCTGTAATTGGTCACATCCATCCCCACGAACGAGGGTGCTGTACTTTGGGCACAGGGTTTCATGAGACTGCCCAAGCCAGGCTCGGCACTCTAGCTCGTGAGGCCCGTCCGCCCGTCCGCCCACCGGCCAGCGCAGCCCAGCGGGGTCTCCCCTCCAGCAGCCCCGGGCGCACAGGGAGCCGCGTGGGCTGCTGTCTGATCACCTCTCCGCAGAGACAGAGCTTTCCACCAGCGAGCAGAGGAGCTTTTGCAAAACCAGAGCCTTTGTGGTTAGAGAAATGTATTCAGCCAACAAAGCCCCTTTTCAGAGATACAAATTAGATACAGCGATCCCTTTTATGAAGATACTAATTAGGCCGGAGACCGCGGGCTCCAGGTTTTTTCCATTGTTATATTTGTTTAGGCTCTGCCTCCTATTTAGCACCATCCGCACGCCTGGTAAATACTGTCCTGGGTTTGCAGCAGCCTCTGCGGCTGACTAGTGGGTTCCCTCCTCGAGCCCAGGGAGGGAGGGCCCCAAGCCAGGGCAGCTCCGTGGCCGTGAGTTGGGGATAGCCAAGGCCAGCCCTTGGGGACCTCTGGGGCTAGAGCACTAGTGTAGGAAAAGCCCTGGAACCAAGGAGCTGCTGCTCCCTTTGAGAGGGGGACCCAGTTCCTGTACCCTTGTTGCTCCAGCCAGGCGTCCTGGGCTTGTGGTTGGGCCCCTCCCCAGTCCACACGGTAGCGGCGGAAATTAAAGCTGGTGACAGGAGCAGAGAGGGCTAGACTTCAGACCCAGGCAGGCTTGAATTGGAGTCCCTCTACCACCTCTTACCCGCTCAGACAGATCACGGAGCCTCAGTGTTTCCATCTGTACAGTGGGATTCCAGACCTGCCAGCTAGGCTGGCCAAGTGGGTTAAATGGGAAGTAGCGTGTGACGAGCACAGTGGATGCTCAGTTAATATTGTGTCCTAGTCGAGCTCCTGCTAAGTGCAGAGCCGCTAGAGGGGATCCCTGGAGGCTTAAGAGGCAGCCATGCATCCGGGGGACCCAGTGTAAGCAGGGCTGGCGTCGAGGGAGGTCTGGGATGGGACAGCCACGCAGAGCTGGCTTCCTGGACCACACACTGGCCCACAAAGCCTTCCTGGGGAGGGAAGAGGCTAGCAGCCTGGGACAGACGGACCAGGCTCCTCGTCCCAACACTCGTGGACTCCCAGGGCAGTGGGCTCGGGGGGAACCCCCACTGAGCCTGGGGACTCTGTTTTCCAGTCTTGTCCGCACATTTCCGAGTCTGTGAGCCATACACGGACCACAAAGGCCGCTATCACTTTGGCTTCCACTGCCCCCGGCTCTCGGACAACAAAACCTTCATTCTCTGCTGTCACCATAACAACACGGTTTTCAAATACTGCTGCAACGAGACAGAGTTTCAGGCGGTGACGCAGGCGAACCTCACGGCCGGTTCCGAGGGCTACGCGCACAAGTGAGTACTGGGCTGGGGCCCCTGCCGCGACGGGGGCCGCTCCATCACCCCATCCCCTGGGGCGGCTGCCGGGTAACCGGAAGAGGACAGGTGGGCCTGCAAGGATTCTGGGAAAATCTTCAGGTGACAGGTTTTCCAGGCCATCTGTCCTCTGATGTTAGCCTTCTCTTCTGAAAAATGGGCACAGTACCCACCTCCCAGGGCTGCTGAAGAAGTTGAGTGAAGTCGAGGATGTGGAATGGAAGGCTTAGAAGCACGGCAGGTGCAGGGGCCAGGAACCCACGTTCCTTCCTTCTGGATTTATTTGATTGGTCGTTCTGACTCAGAGATCAATCCCACGCAGCCTCTTTCCTTAAGGTGATTAAAACAGGAGAGACCACAGCCCTGATGGAAGGGACCAAGGGTGTAAAGAAAGAGAAATTTACCCTGCAGAAAAGCAGTGGGGATATGATAAGGAAAGCCGTGCAGGATTGAAACAGCATGCATTTCTCTTATCATGAGTGAAAGAAACTAAGCCTCTTTCCACATCTTTGGAGTCACTTGTATTGCTTTTACTGTGAGCTAACTGTTTATGTCCTTTGCCATTTTCCCATTGAATTGTTGGCTTTTTTCTTACTTATTCACAGGGACTCTTTATATATGAAGGAAATCCAATGAGTTGCAAATCTTTTCTCAGTGTGTCTTTAAATTTGTGGTGCTTTTATCTCATGCTTAATTTTTAGTTATATTACCAAATTGGATCCATTTCTTTTCTTTTATATCTTCTGGGGTTTGTATCAGATTGAGAAAGGTTTTCCCTATTCAGAGATCATGAAAAATCCTCCTCATGTTTTCCTTTACTTTTTTTTTAATGTGTTAATTTTTCGCCTTCAAATCTTTGATCTGTTAGGAATTTATTTGGATGAAAGTTTTGAGGTAGGAATCCAACTCTATCATTGTTTTTCCCAAATGGGTAGCCAGTTGTCCCAATACCATTCACTGAATCATCCCTCTTCCCCCCACTGATGTAAACTGCAAACTTATATACTATAATATACCAGATTTGAGGATCTGGATAGATCGTGATACGTTTTCATGGCTTTCATTGGTCTTCCCATACACTAGTATCCCGCTGGATTAACTCCTGTGGCTTTTGATATGTTTTAATGCCTTCTTAATCTATCCCCCCAGCTCTTTTCTTATATGAACTTTAGAAGCAGCTTGTGTAGTTTTGCTCCTCCAAGAATTCACTTAGTATTTTTTTACTGAGATTACATTGAATTCATAGATTAATTCAGAGAGAGTGGACTTTTCATGATACTGAATCCAAGAACACAGTACAGACAATCCCTGATTTATGAGGCTCCGACTTATGACTTTCCAACTTTACAATAGTACAAAAGGGGCATGCCTTCAGTAGAATCCATACTGAATTTTGATCTCATCCCAGGCTGGCAGAATGCAGTACAGCCCTTGTTCGTAATGCTTAACGGGAGCTCTGAGCTGAAGCTCCTCGTCAACCAGGCAATCTTGAGGCTTGACATCTGACACAGTTGCAAACATTCTGTCCCCAGACAATCATTCCGGTTTTCACTTTCGGTACAGTATTCAGTAAATGACATGGCATGGTCCACACTTGATAATCAAATGGGCTTTGTGGTAGATGATTTTGCCCCTGCAGTAGGCTAATGTGGGTGATCTGAGCACATTTAAGGTGAGCTGGGCTACGTTGTGATATTTGGTGGGCTGGGTGTAGTAAGTCCTTATGATATTCCCAACTTACAATTGGCTTGCTGGGGCATAGCTGCATCGTAAGTTGAGGAAGATCCGTTTGTCTTTCCAATTATTCAAATTTTCTTTCATAGTGTTTCGGGATTAATTTCATGAATTTTGTATGCATGTCTTCTGCACTGTTCATACTTATTTCTTCATACGTTGCTGTTATAAATAGGGTCTTTGCTCCCACTGCATCTTCTAACCCACTCTCATTTGAACGATGAAATCTAACAGTTTCTATACGTGAGTTTTATACCCAGCCACCTTACTGAAAATTTTATCTTTGTTATACTTTTTCAGTTGATAATCTCTTAAATTTCCCATTATGCAGTTGGCAAACCATGGTAATTTTACCTGCTTTCCACTTTTTATGCCTCATTTCTTTTTCTTCTCCAGTCATGTTGGCTAGTACCTCTAGAACCATCTTTGGAATTATCAAGCATTTGTCTCTTCTTCCTGATAGAACTCAGATATTTTCCCAGTAAGCCTGAGGCTGACTCTTGGGTGGCTATATTTTTTTCATGGCAAGGAAAAGTCCGCTTGGAAGGAGGGTTTGTTGAGTGACCGTGGAAGGGAGTGGTGGCACCACTGGGAGGTCAGGGCCCCCATCCGTCTGTCCGATATCGGGGCTGGAATGCTTCACCACTGTGCCGTGCTCACTCGGGGGAAATCTCCCTTCCTTTTGGTCAGGCAGGAGATGCAGACTCCTTGACTATCATCCAAATCTCCCTCCCCCCACCAAGGCCAATCCCCATCCTTCCTTCCTCAAATGCATGGGTGCTTCCCCTGAATATCTTGCCATCTGCTCAGGCCTTAGAATAATTCTGTGTGTGAAGTCGTTCAGCAAGTCCTGTCCATCACAGGGTCTGGAATCGGGCCTGGATTCTGACCCAAGGCTTTTATAAGACCACAGACGGACTCCCTGAGGCTGGAGAGTGGTGCCAGCCCTGGGGTCAGGACCCCGGAGCGCTGTCGTTGCCGGCCGAAAGCCAGACGGAAGACAGAGGCTTGGCAAGGCGAGCCGACTTCTCCAGGGCTCCGGCGACTGGTGTCTGGGATCCTCGTTTTGAAGCCCACATGTTTCTATAATCTGCACATTTCCACAGGATCTCACACAGAATACTCCCATCATTTCAGCACCACGGGGCCTGGTTGCTGTGAGGAAGAGTTCAGCCATACAATAAAGCCTTTCCCCTGGGGAGGAATGGAGATATTGAAGAAAGTTAGCTTAGTTCTGATTCTTTAACCTCAGAAAGCACTTACAGAGAGTGCGGCACGGGGCCGGCTCAGTGCTTGGCTCCATCCTTGCCATGTCCCGGCGGGCACCTGGTGGCCCAACCTGAGCCCACATCACACACAGGGAAGGTGAGGCTCACGGAAGGTGAGCTTGTGTGACTCACTGGATCGAGGCAGCCCGTCACAGGAGCCCGGCTGTGTCTGGAGGCTGCTTTAATCAATCTGGGGCCTCCACCAATGGAGGCAGATCTGAGTGGGGAGGCCCTGGAGTGGGGATCCCCACCACGGCACCACTGACACCTGGGGCTGGATTGTTCTCGGGGGAGGGGGTGGAAGGAAGGTTGCCCCATGCACTGGTTGTGGCAGCCTCCCTTGTTACCACCCACGAGCCATGGGGGGCAGCCCCTCCCCTCCAGGTGGCTGTGACAACCAGCCTCGTCTCCTGATGTTGCCGAGTGTGGGGTCAGGATCGCCCCATTGGGAGTCGCTGCTCTGGAGGGATTCCTTCTTGTGATTCCCCACCGAGCCTCCCCGCCCCCTCCCTTCCCACAGATGTGGACGGACCCCCAGAGGGGGCTGCTCCTACCCCAGAATAGTTGGGTTCCACTCCTCACCCAGGCTATACCACACCTGTTGTCTTTGCGTTTCCTGCAGGGAGGCCTGGTGCCGGATTCCCCTGCATCCAGAACTTGTTAAGACTGGCGGGGAGCCATGTGGTCCAGAGGAATGAGCATTTCCAGGCGGGGTCCCTGCAGCCTGAGTGTGAAGTACAAGGAGATGCATGGGGAGAGGCAGGGGCGGGGGACCCGTGTGTGCCCTGCCCGCCTAGGGAGCCCAGGGCCACCAAGACCCTTCCTGGGCTTCCTGAAGATGGGCGGAGTCCGCGGGCAGCCAGGGCGCCTGACGCCCGCCCACCTCCCCCACCCAGGCCATGAATCAATGAGGGGGCAGAGCTGGTGACAGGGAAAAGGAACGCGCTTCTGATGACTTATTTATTTGTGTTTTTTCTGGAGGAACAGAATGGTTTGTTTTGGTTCTCGCTGCCTGGCAGAAAGGCAGGCAGAGCGAAGGAAGCAGCCTCGCCAGGCCCACTGCCACGGCAAGGTGCCACGTCCTGCCATGCGGGCCAAGGCCCTGGGTGTTTGGGAGAGGGTGCTGCACACTGTCCCTTGCCAGGTGGACCCAGACCCAGAGCCCGGAACCAGCAGGGGCCCCGGTCAGCTCTCCCTGGGGACCAAGGTGGCACGGGGCGGAGTCTTGCGCGGTGAGTGGGCGTTCCTTCGTCGGGCACTTGGGCAGCAAGAAGCGGAGAGTGGGAGACGTTCTAGGAAGGCAGAAGCATCCTTGAGGATGGAGTAGATGAATTCTCGTTCTTCCCTTGGCTGCTCGTGAAACCTCTGTCCCCCAAAAGCTTTCCTTTCCCCAGCGCCTGAGCACCAAGAGCTCCGGGCTCTGTCCTGCAGGCTCTATAGCCCCGTCCGGAGGCTTCAGGTTCTGAATAGAGCCCCTGAGTGTGGTAAGAAGCTTCTGGATGTTCTTGTCCATTGTTCGACCCCATCAGGCCCTGTTAGGCCCAAAGCCTGCACACACACTGGCAGCCTTCGGAAGACTGAAGAGGTTCTAGAAACACGATGTTTCCTCATCTGAGCCAGACCACAGGGAGGGAGACAAATGAACATGTGTGAGCCCTTGTTGTAGCACGAGGGGCCTCACCAGCTCCTTTGATCCACGTGGAGGTGTGATCCGTGGAGAAGGTCCCCCGGCCCCCGTACACCAGGCCTGAGGCTCAGAGATGGTGAGGAGTTGCCTGACGTCACATGTGCGCACCTGGGACAGAGCCGGGCTGGGGACAAGTGCGCCCGTCCCCACTGCCCCAGACCCGAAGGCTGATTTTGGGCTCCCATGCTGTGTCCTTCTGGGTCACCTGTGGCTCTGTGCATGGAGCCTTCTGTGACTGAGGCCCGAGAAGCACATCCCACCTGGGGCTGGGTGTCCCGGCGGCAGAGGGTAGAGAACACAGGTGAAACCACGAGGCGGCCCTTGATGTCTGCTCAGAAGCAGCCACGGTACTTCTCGTCACGCTCCGTGGGCCAAAGCTCATGGTTTGGCCGAGGCTATTACCAGCCGGGAGGGGAGGGGCGCAGGGCCCGACGCAGGGAGGGACGGCAACTACCTTGTTAGTCGGGCGCCCTGCTTCACTGGCCCAGAGCCCGTGCTCCTCCACTGCCTGGGGCAGCCTCGATCCTGCTGTGTGATCTTAGGCATGTGGCCTGGCCTCTCTGGGCCCGGATCGACTGAGCATTCCTGTGCCCCTGGCTCTCAGGAGCCGGCATTCACCGCATCCTTTCCCCCCTCGGCCCCCCACCCCATCCTTGTCTCATCAAGCCCCATAAATGACGCCATCAAGTGGGGCGAGTATTACCTCTGTTTTACAGATGAGGACAGTAAAGCTCAGGGAAGAGAAAGGCGCTGAGCTGGGCTTTAAATTCACGCAGTCCTCATGTCTCGGGCCCAGAATGTCACCACCAGGGTCACCAGCTTGTTACACTGACCCACAGGCCACCCCGTGAGCGGGCTCAGGGCCCAGAGAGCATAGGTGAGGTCGGCCAAGGGGCCGTGGCCACCTCCCAGCCAGCACTGGCCTGGCCGTGAGCCCCGCAGCCGTGTTCTGCTCTGGCCTGCTGGCCTCAGCGGCTCACCTCCTCCGTCCGCCAGGAGCGCTGGCGGGGACTTCCTCCTGGCCACGGCGCCCCCTCCTGGTGGTGTACCTGGTCCTGTACCAGTAGGTATTGTGGAAGATCCCTCCAGCAGAGGTTTCTGTCCATCGCTTGGGAGACACAGAAAGAATTCGAATCCGTAAATGTCCCAAAACACACCGAAAATTTGCTGTCTGTGGCTTTGGCTGGCTTCACATCTTGCCCCATAAAGCAGCATCAGTTTTATCTTCTGCCCTTTACAAAATATACGCTTACACGCAACAGAGACCCCTGCATCTGGATGGAATTAATTTCCAGATCACATTTTTAAAATTAAATTAAAACACCCGGAATGCTTCCAGCCGGCCAGCGATGGGGAGGACAGGCCAAGAAAGAGAGGAGAGCTGCCCGGGCCTGGTATCGGCGGCCTAGTCTCTCTGGCCAGCTGTGCCTCCTGTGTGGGCTCCCCTCAGCGTCTTCTGCAGGTGCACCCCTCCTTTCTCTGAGCAGGGAGGGCAGGGAGGGCAGCCCACCACTCTGCATCCCCTGAAAGCCAGTTGGAGCAGCCGGCGGCAGAGACCCGCAGGCCCAGCAGCGCCCACGCACGCATGCAAAGCCAGTGACATGCTGAGACGTGGGATGATCTGGGGGGCAGGGATTGGAATCTGCCCTCTGGTCCCAGGTCCTGGGACGGGGTGACCCAGGACAAGTGGGCACGCTGCTTAACAGTGCAAAATCTCTCCCTGGACATCCAGACATGACCTTGAGGTTTTCCCAACATTCAGCACACTCTGTGTTTAGGTGATCTGGGGCCAAACCCCAGGGCGGCCCCTTCCCACCCGGCCAGTGGCTTGGCCTCTCTGGACCTCATTTCCTCATCTGAGCTTGGGGCAGGCTGGTCCATTTACTTCCTCCCGACATTGCTGCAGGACCAAGAAACACCGGGTGCTGGCATGTTCTCATTGCTAGTAGGGTTATTAACTCTTAGAAATGCGTAGAGAGGAGGTAAAATCTAGTGAAGAAGCTAATTCTATCAAGGCTGACATTGTCACCAGCTCACCGTGGGCCCCGGTGTGTGTCAGTTTCGGTAATGTCAGCAGCCGCCCAGGGCTGAGTGCTGGGCACGCCAAGATAAATGGGACCTTGGCCCTAGCCTCAGGGAGCTCTGGGTTCCAGGAGCCAACAGTCCTACAAAGCACCCGAGAAAACACTGTGTGTTCTGGGAAACCCAGTGACTTTGGGACCTCGAAGGAGGAGTTGGATCTAACAGAGGACATCCAGGAAGGCTTCCTGGAGGAGGTGAGAGCTGAGCTAGACATCGGAGCCCAGATAGTAGGGAGTGAGTTCCAGGCAGAGGACCAAGGTCCGGAGGTGACCCGTCTGTCCTGAGAGGCTGGGTACAGCTGCCCAGGACAGCGTGGCTCCGTGGCTAAGAAGGTGAGCTCTGGAACGAGGCTTCCGAGTTCAAATCCTTGCTCTTCACCAAATGGCTATGAGATCTTAGATGAGTCTCTTAATTCCTCTGAGCCTCAGTTTCCCATCTATCAAGCGGGACTGGTGGTGACAGCAGGGACAGGGCCTTCTTTGTTTGCTCTGGATGTCAAGTGGGCTACCGTACGGGGCGCGCGCTGCCTCCCACTTTCCTTACTCTGATCATCTCTCAGTCCTACTGGCTCCAGGCCCAGCTGCGGCCCAGCCACCACCCCCGACTGGCGTCACAGTCTCCCTCTCTGTGGGGTAGCATCTGCACACCGCTGCTCTTCCTCCCCCCTCCTGCTCCCCTCCCTCAGCCCTGAGGCTGCTGCCATGGGAACCACCAGGAAGAGGCCTGTTGCTGGCAGCCATGCCGTGGGGGCTCCAGGAACCTGGGAGAGCGGGTGCTGGAGGAAGCAGGAGGGTGGAAACTGGATCCAAGCCTGCCTCTTCAAGCCACATGGGCGTCCACCCCAGGACCCCTGCCTCTGCAAGCCAGGCCGGGCTGCCAGCCTCTGTCCCTGATGGAAATTCCCCTCCCAAATGTAGCTGGGCAAAGCCAGCATCCCCTGGAAGAAAGGCAGCTTGGGGTGTGGCTGGTAGTCATTCACACCTTAGCGTGAACAAGCCCCTGAGGCTGTGGCAGGCTGCATGAAGGTGGCGGCTGGAGGGGGGACCCCACCAGGGAAAGGGGGTGGCCTAGATACAGAATTGTGTCTCACTTCTCAAGCAGATACTGAGCCCTTTACTAGTGCCCACTCTGTGCCCAGTGCTTGGATACCCAGAGACTGTCCGCTGGAGGGGCTTCAAGTACCCAAGCCAAGTCTTTGGAGAGGAGCGTATATGCTAAGTAAGGAGAGGGGTGGTGTTCCAGGCAAAGAAGGCATGTGAGCAAAAGTGACCCCCAGCCCTGGGAGTCAGAGGGCAATGGCCCCTGCCTCACTGCTGAGGCTGAAGCTGGGCCTCAGTCACCTCCTATAGGCCCAGAGACACATAGGAGTTCTCCCAGGCCACACAGCAAAGCTGGGCCAAGGAGGCACCTGGACCAGGCCCCCTGGCTCCGGGCCTGTGCTCTCTAGCTTCGGGGTCTAGCGGGATCCGCCGTGGGGAACCCAGGATACCAAGGGGCCCTGTCTGGGCAGGAGCTGGGGGAGGCGGGGTAATCCCTCCTCATGAGCAGGACCAGTGAGGCCGGACACTGGCTCTCCCTGTCCACAGGGAGAGGGAGCAGCACATACCCACCTGCGCAGATGCCCGCCGCAGGGTGCAGACAGAGGTTGCATCTGAGCGATTAATAAATCAGTCCCTTTAAACAGCCACCATCCCTAGCAAGTGCTCTTCGGGGCACAGAAGCCCCAGATGCCCTGGCCAGCCCAGGAAACAGGCCTCCCTGGGCACCCAGGGGACACTCAGACCCTGGCCTGGGAAGGGGACGGATGGACCCAGACAGCCCAGTCCTGGGAGGTGGGAGCTCGGTGTGACAGGCACTCTGGACTTCAGCCTGGAGGATGGGCCTGGCCCAGCCCGCATTGGAGGGGCAGCGTGTCAGGAAGCCTTCCTGGAGGAAGCAGTGTCTGAGAGGGGCAGGTGGGAGTCAGGCAGGAGGCAGGAAAATGAAAAAAGCTGCCCAGGTAACAGGCACAGCCTGTGCAAAGGCCCGGTGTCCAAGCGAGCGGGCCACACTCCTCCGTGAAGGGACAGGGAACCAGGCTTCACTAAGGAGACATGAGCCCCAGCACTACAGCACTACAGCTCACCCTCACTTCCACTTCTGGAGGGTGGAGCAGTCTTCAGCGGGGCCACACTGGGCAAATGATCAAGAGAAACCATGTCAGGGGACTCTGAGAGCTGCAAACACGCCAGGGGTGAGCAGGAGGAGGGGAGGGTGGAGGCAGAGGCTAGAGGAACAGCCAGGACCCGTGACTGCCCTGTGGGGTGTGGGGAGGGAGGCCGAGCCCACCTCTGCTTCCTGGACTTCTGTGAACGGGCAAGAGGGCTGATGGGGAGGCTGCTCCGGGGGAAGGGGGCACCAGCTGAGCTCCCTTGGCACGTGGCAGCGTGAGATGGCCCTGAGCGGATGCTGGGGGCCAGAGGTTGATGGCTCAGGAGGTTGGGTGGGTTTGTCCTAGGACAACAGACGTCCTGCTTTTGCCCTGGGTCTGGTAAGGTAGGGAGGAGCTGCGGGGGGGACCAGGGGCAAAGGAGGCGGTGAGGGATGGAGGAGAGCATCCCAGGACGGGGAACAGCATAGGCAGGGAGCCAGGGGGCAGGCAGGTGAGGGCACCTGCAGGAGCCAGCGGGCAGGTCCAGGAGCAGCTCCCATGTTGGGAGAGACCGGAGGGTGAAGGTCCTTCTAGAGTCCTAACAGAGAGGGCCCCAGTGAGATCCCTGCCCGCACTAGGATCCTGGGGGAGATGCTCTGGGGCGGAAAGGGTGCCAGGGAGTAGGGTCCAAGGATCTAGGAGGGGACCATCAGGCAGGAGGGAGCCATCGGGCAGGTGGAGGGAAGGAAGTGGAGGGTGAGTGTGAAGAGGGGAAGCCAGGACTCCCTGTCCCCCAGGGGCGGGGGTTCCCACCCCTCCTCTCTGGGGCCCCAAACTAGCCCCATGGGTTAACTCCGTCAGTGGGAGCCACTGTCCTCTTCCCCTCAGCATCTGTCTCTCTTTCCCCCAGCAATTACACCGCCTTGCTGGGGGTGTGGATCTACGGCTTTTTCGTGCTGATGCTGCTGGTCCTGGATCTTTTGTATTACTCAGCAATGAACTACGACATTTGCAAGGTTTACCTGGCACGGTGGGGCATCCACGGACGATGGATGAAACAGGACCCCCGGCGGTGGGGCAATCCTGCCCGGCCCCCCCGGCCAGGGCAGCCCGCCCCGCAGCCCCAGCCTCCCCCAGGCCTGCTGCCGCAAGCCCCCCAGGCCGTGCACACGCTTCAGGGAGAGGCCCACAGCCCACCACTGATGACCTTCCAGAGTTCGTCTGCCTGGTGAGTGGTTGCGGTCAGGGCCCTGGCCGCCGAGGTGGGTCACTTGTCTTTGCCAAGCTTGGAAAATATTGGGTCATTATTGCCGCTGTGTCTGGCTCCTTGATTACCTGATTGTTTGCTTATCTCATTTGACAAGAGGATTTGAAGTTGCCCAGGATAACGTGTGCCCGGGCGAGAGTCAAACGAGAGGCAGAAACGGAGCTTGGGAGCCCGGCCTGCCGGGTTATTGCACTTACAGACTGGTGCGGGAGTGATTGCCACTGAGCCGTTCGTGGAGTTGTGAGTTTCCTGGAGGCCGAGGCGAAAAGGGAAATCGGATGGCTTTCCATGTTTTCATGGTCAAATGAAGCAAGTGGGTTTTGGAGGCTGGGAGATAAGCTTTTCAGCATGGGGTTAGGAAGTAAGCACATTACTGGGTTGGTTCCTTGTGTTCACACGCACGGGGTCTCTTAAGAACGTAGAAGGCAATGCAGGCGGGCTGCTTCGTGATGGCTCAGGGGAAGGGGCAGAGAGGTGGCTGGGGAGATGGGAGATCAGGGAGTTAGCCTGGCAGCCTGGCTGCATGTTTAAACCCGACTTTCCCTGCTGTGACTCTCATTTCTGCCCAGTCCCAGGCCAGTGGGAGGTAGGGGAGGACCGACCGTCCCCAGGCAGTGCAGAGTTGGACAGAGAGAGGAGGGCTGTGACCTTTGCAGGAAACCCTACCTGGGTTCGCATCCCAGCTCTGCCATTTCCCAGCTCTGTGTGTGGGCGAGTTACCTCAGCCCTGCTGACCCTCCCATCCTCAGGAAGCAGCGGAGAGGAGGCACGGTCCCCTGCCAGGGTCCTCGAAGGGTTAAATGAACTATCTGGCCCCTAGTAGGTGCCCGGTTAAGGATCAGTGCCTCCTTGCTGGAGATGCAACCAAGCTAGTTAATGACCATTCAGTAGCTAGCGGGTAGCGACCTTTTCAATAATGAATGGCTTACATAATTCATAGGATACACTTAAATCAGCTTATTGATCGAGTAATTGCCCCATCTATCATGCAGAAGACAAAAACACAGCCCTGCTCAGCTCAGCTTGACAAATGCCCACGGAGCCAGTCCCCTGGATCCTTCCCCTGCGCGGGGCTCCTGGTGATGTCAAGGGGATGGGCAGAGAACCTTGAGGCGCAGGAAGGAGAGACACAAACCCACGCAAAGCTGCGGAGCAGGAAACACACCCGCTCTGGCGATGGGGCTCTCTGAAACGTGGGTCTCCGGTGGCGGACACACCTGGGGCATTCATCAAAATAAATTCCTGGGTCTCCTCCAGAGGCCCCTGACCGGGAAACTCTGGGGGTAGCGCCTGAGATACCGGAGTCTGAGAACCCCCGGAAAACGTCGTTATATGAGGTCAAATCCCAGTTTGAGGGCTGGGAGTATCCCACACGCACGATGGTTTTCTCTCTCCCCCCGTCTGGAACACCTCGTGCCTCCCTGAGCAACGGGCCTGCCCAGCTGCTGGGCTTGTGCCTCAGGTCCAAACCAGAGCCGGAGCTCGCGGTCCCCGAGCCCTGCTGTTTAAGTGGGAGGCATTTAATTTTGGAGCTCAGAGGCCCCTCAGGTTCCCATATTGTGGACTCAGGGTTGGGGCTCCCATAACCGTATGAGCGTTCGTGAAAGAGATTGTCAGAAGCCTGCGAGGATGTGATGCAGGATACGGGTTCGCTTGGTGACTTCCAGCTCCTGTCTGCTCTCGACCCACGGTGTGACCTTGGGTGAGGGGCCTCCTGCTTGGGCTTCCCACTGTACCTACCATGGGGGAAGGGGTGGGCTTGGTGAACCTGTCACCTGCTGGCCTCCTCGTGGGAGGCCACGGTTCCAGCAACATCTGTGGACCACTCGCTGTGCCCCTCGGCCCCTCGGGCCCGCGTTTGCCGTCTCTGAGTCTTCCTTGGCACTGTCCCCAAGGGCTCGTTTCCCCACTGACCCCCACCCCTTGCTGGCCCTGTGCTGGGTGCTGGGGACTGGGGACAGGTGATACACAAGACGTGAGAGAACCTTCATGGGAGGACAGGAGGCTATGACACAGCCTAGGGGCGGTGCCAGTGGCATGGGGGGTGGGGCATGGCCAGGGCACATCCAAGCAGGTGTCCTGGGCAGAGAGCCAGGGCTGCGACCCGCCGTGGGCTAAGTGTGGCCAGGGGGGTGTCAATAGGTGGCATGGCACTGAGGCTGGGACAGGGGCGGGCTGTGCTCAGTGCTTACCCCAGAATAAGAGTCTGGGCTGCTTCATGTCCAAACTGTCACCCAGAGTCATCCAAACAGTGTCCCCCTCAGGCATGGACCCCTCCAGCTGCCCCCCCCCCCGCTCTTCCCCTGGTCCTGTGCCCCCTCCCAGCCAGGCACCCCTACCACTGCTCTCTATCCTGCCTCCCCCCCACCCAGCGGTGGCTCTGCTTCTCCCCTTCCTCACCCACAGCCTGAGGTGACCTCCCTGGGGACAATTGCCACCTTGCCCCTTGGTTCATAGCTCCCTGGTTGGTGGCCTGCTGTGGCCCTTCCTGCCCCTGCCCGCAGCTGAGACCATGAGCAGCAATCCAAGTCCAGCCAGGCTGCCTGTCCTGTTCTGTGATGTGACTGGACCCCCCAGTCCCATGTGACGCGGCTGCAAGTGGGTCATTTGGGTATCGTTGGCACGGCTGGCGTGAGTGTGAGTGTGAGCAGCACATCTGTTTGGGGCTGGAGTTGACCCCCTGGGTCCAAGAGCCACCTGTACAGGGGGTCGGCTCTGCGACCTCGGGCAAGTCATTCTACCACCTGTGCCTCAGTTTCCCCATGAGATACCAAGGGTCATGACCATCTTGAGAATTTCAAGGGAGGATTCTTAGGGAGAGGCTTGGCCCACCGCCTGGCCCCATGTTGGTCAACCTTGCGGTCATTTCTCAGGTGGGTAGGTAAATGTGGTGGGCGTCCTGCCCCCAGGATTGACGGGGAAATGCATGTGGCAGTCACCCGGCGCCCCGCACAGGCTGGCCATGTGCCACTGGGTCATCTCCCACCTGCCCAGTGGGGTAAGGATGTTGTGCCCCACCTTCAGATGTGGGAACTGGGGGGCTCGGAGGAGGTCACTGGCCTGCCTGGGTGACCCAGCAAAGGGGAGACGGAGGCGGGGCCCCACCCCAGGGCAGCCTACACCGTGTCCTCTCTGCCACAGGCTCGCCTATGGCGGGGTGGGCAGCCTCTTGTCAGAACCCAGGCCGGGGTGTAAGACTGAAGCAGCCCCCCAGTGACCCCAGGGAAAGCAATTCTGGAGGCTTCAAGGAGGAGGCACACGTCCACCCAGCCCCGCTCTGTGGCCCCAGACACACTCCACCCAGCTCCAGCTCCAGAAATGCTGCCTTCTAGCCACCAACCCATGGCCCCCACCAGGTTTGTCCTCGGCCGGCACCTCCCACCTGCTTACGAATCCCATCACTGATTCTAGGCCACGCTCTCCCTCAGCCAGAACCCCAGCCCGGCCACCACAGGGAGCTCTGTGTCTGGTGCTCAGGGCACAGAGTGGGTGCACAGCTGGTGCTACTTGATTGAGCTGGAGGGTGTCTGGTCACCCCATCCCCTCACACCAGCCCTCGGCCCTGCTTCCTGTGCCACTGCCCACTCTGGGCTCTTGTGGCCTAAAAGGATGAAGAGTGAGGGCCAGGGCACCGCTCAGCACCACCGAGGGCTCCTTGTCCAGCCTGCTGGCCGCTACCTCGTGTTATCAGCCTGCGTCCGCCAGGAGGACCTCTGATGTGTGGTGCTGTCATCCTTGCTGTCCCAGACAGGTGCCCTCCTGGCTGTGGCGGCAGGTCCAGGGGAACCAACAGCAGCATGTGCACACACACACCTGCCTTGAATCCCAGCTCGGCCCCTCGAGCCTTGATTTTTCTCACCTGTAAAATGGCCAATCGCAGCCTGACCCCGTAGTTGCCATCATGAACATCAACTGCCCATCTGGGGCCCTAGCCTCCCTCCCACTCCCCTCCATCCCCCTGCCCCCTCAAGGCCTCAGTCCCTAGCCTGGCCCCCGAGGCCCTCCCCACTCCACTGCTCTCCCTGAAGCCTCAGGCTGCTGCTCGCCTCCCTCTGACCTGGCCGGGGCCAGTGGAGTGCTGGGAGACAGGGCGGCACGCACCGCATAGACGCTGCCTGCCAGGACTCTTTCCGCTCCTGCAGTGGGAACCGGGCACAGTGAGGTTATCATCCCCTTTTACAGACGAACAAACACAGGCCCAGAGAGGGGAAGTGACTTGCCGAGGCTACACAGTAAGTCCATGCTCTGGAGCCAGATCTCCCCACTCCCAGGTCTCCCAGGACCCAGCAGGACCCAGGTTGATGGGGCAGGGCAGAGGACCACCACGTTAACACAAAGTGTCCAGAGAAGCTGGGCAAGGCCATGGTGAACTGCAGGGGAAGGAGGAGTCAGGGTGGGCTTCCTGGAGGAGGAGGAGGCAAGGTGGAGGCAGGTCCCAGGGAGTGAGGGGGAGTTCACAAGGTTAGAACAAAATGGAAAAGCCACTTCAGATGAGGAAACAGCACAAGTCAAGACCACGGTGACCCTGGAAATTGCGAGAGGCTTGCAGCTGTCATGTGGCCTCAGGCGGAATGAGACTCTGGGCTGGGATGTGCCGGGCCCCTCTCGGCCCACAGGCCTCCGCCTGCCAGCAAAGCCCCCACAGCAGCAGCAGCCACTCTCACCTCCTTCCTCCCTAACCCAGAACACCCTCTGGCTCTTTGCAGAACTCATTCATAGGCCCCCCACGGTGGGTCCCCAGAGTTCACCGGACCCCGGAATCTTCCTCCCGATAAAGCTCGGGCATCACTTTCTTCCCAGCTCTGCGGCCAGATCCTTGATGTGTGGTTTCTGCAGGAGGCCACCAGCCAACAGCAAGAAATTCCAGAAAGCCGGAAGACAAAAAGGGAGACCACGTATCTTCTTTCCTTGGCATCATATCAAATACCAAGGAGGCATCGGTGATTGGAAGTCAGAAGACC